ATACAGATGTTATTGAATATGTCTAATAAAATAACACCAGCATTGCTCTAAATTGGACAAAACAGTAAGTGAGGCATAACTAATCATCCTTTCTTTTAGCTCACAGAGCCCTTTGAACTGTCAAGGTCAAGGACATTCACAGAGTTGTCCTGAATCCAACTCTGTGTTCTTAGGATCGTCGGCCTGTTGGAAGATGTGGCACTGTGGAGGAGATTATCATCAAGGGTGTCTCTGCACGTGGCTGCATTCATTTTTCCCTCAACACTGACTAGTCTCTCAGTTCTTGGTGGTGAAAACATCCTCACCGCAGATGCTGCCACCACCATGCTTCACTGTAAGGATGGTAATAGTCAGGTGATGAGTGGTGCCTGGTTTCTTCCAGACACAATGCTCAACATCGGGCCCGACTTTTTGCTTGGTTGTTCTTTTGGAAAGTTTATAAGAGTAACATAACGAAATGTGGAGCAAGTGCTGTGAATACTTTTACTGCAGATGGTCCTTTTTGCAGCTTTTACATGATAATCTTCAGGAATATTACTTTGGTGTCACAGATAACATAACATTTACATTTTTGCCTGTTTTTTCACAAAAAAATGTTTAACATACAGAATATTGAGAGAAATATTTAAGAAACATTATAAGATACAAAAAATATTCTACATACCCTGTAAAGTGATGTTGACTGCATTGCTGAACTGTTTTGACATAGACTCACACCAGTACACTCCATCATCTGAATATGAAGCTTTTGTGTAGAGTGTGCATACGGATTCTCCTAGATTCCAAACATCACTGCAATACGGCACGCTATTCTCAGGGAACTTCCTCACTCTCCACCAAGTAGAGTTTCCCTTGCAGGTCAGTCTGACAAAGTCAAAGCTTAATCTTTGCTCTACAGGGCCGACTGTGAGAGATGCTGCTGAATAAAGATCTGAAAAACAACACGGATAGAAGAGTGAAAGCACAAGCACAACACATAAAAACTAAGTATCAAGCATTTACATGAGCTTAAATGCAAGTAAAAGCACATGGATCTGTTAAAAGAACCAAAGAAGGAAATTCTTACTTGATCATAGAGAGAAGGGAAAATGTTACATTTAGTCCTTGTATGCAGGGAGCACAAATGCAAATTGATCTTATGGTTATATAAATAATTAATGACATTAAATACAGCTTATCAAAAAGAGACAGAAACAAACTGACCTGCAGACCAGACAAACTTTGGTTTACTGTAATAGGTGTAGTAGTAGTTCCTTCCTCTTTGCGCTCTGCACACATATGCTGCTGTGTGTGTTTGTCCAGTAATGATGTACAAAGTCTGAGCAGTCTCGCTGCCATCTGGTAGCAGCTCGTACTTGTAGGCCTCTTCTTTTATGTCCAAATCAGGAATAGCTTTATACCAGTAAAAGCTCCATCCCTCCGAAGGATATTCAATCTCACAGCTCAGAGTTACTGAGGCTCCGGGACTCAGCCATGAAGGGGACACGGTGAGGACAGGTTGCAGTTTAACTGTTGAAAGAGTTTTTTTAAAATCAGGTTTTTATTTTTATTTTTTTATTTTTTATAATAACATTGCTAAGTGATGGGTTCACAAATCAGGAGAACAGCCAGCTTATCATCACTCTGGTTTGGCCTGTGTTCATTTTTGAACATAAATGGTAAATGACCTGTATTTGTATAGCACTTTTACTAGTCCCTAAGGACCCCAGGGCTGCCCTTTGTCTCCGGTTCTGTTAATAATTTTTATGGACAGGATTTCTAGGCGCAGCCAAGTGGCGGAGGGCTTTCGCTTTGGTGGCC